CAACTAACTTCCTTTGATTGGGACCTCTTTGGGGACCGCACACATGTTATACAACGCGAAGGGGGGCAGGGGTGGTTTATCATTGTGTTATATTGTGCTATATAAGTTAGGGGTCTGTGTCGAAAGCAATCTTATACAGCAACTATTTTTATTTTTTATATTTATTTTTATTTTGCGAAATTTCTGCTTTTCAAATTTATGAAACTATCCCACACTATTAAAGACTAAAATTTATTTTTTCCTTGAAATGTTTTTTGCAAAAAAAGGATTTCTGGCTTTTGCTTGCAATTCGCTTGATATTGGACTTCCTTCAGTTTTTTCGGGGAGGGTTGTTTGAAGTGATAAATAATTCGTGTGTGTGTGTGTGTGTGTTGGGGTAGGGGACAATGGAAATGTTATACAAAGTTATATGGGGTAGTGGATGGCTAAAACATGTCACATTTTTGTGCGATATAATAAGTGCACCTGGATATTTTGTCCTTGAGTCTTCAAGCAAACGTTGATAACCAGCCACCGATCAAAGAGGACGATTTTTAGCTGATATCCCAATCTTAATGTGTTCACGGCAGTGAAACTTAATGAAATTATTTACGTAAAACAATAGCAACTCAATGCACACTGATTAAAACTACCAATGCAGGGCCGGCGCTGGGGGGTGGCAAAGTGGGGGCCCCGCGCGTTGCCGTAGTATATTTATAATATACCTAAGCCTACTAATAGTTCCTAATCCAGTCAACACAATAATCGGAGTTATTAGATAGTCAAGCGGTCTGAAGGTCAGTCGGGCTCCCAAACTATCCCTTCGAGGTGAATCTCGGGAAGACCTCTGGGCGCATGTTAGGCAGACGAAAAGGGGATTATCAGGGAATTTTATGCTGTATGTAGACCCGTTAACTTTTTGTTCAGTCTTCATCACATGATAAGAAAATGAATCCTAACGGCGGAATATATAACGTCAACGGCCCTGCAAAATTCAATTTGCCCAAGGCCCCGCACCCTCCCAGCGCTGGGCCTGACCAATGGTCAATGTTGGAAGACATACGCGAATCAAACAAAACAAAACGTTTCACTAAACACCGACAACGTAACATTATATAATCATAATCGGAAATCTATTCCCAATCAGGGTTTCTTTCAGCTATATCTCGCCCCCCTGGAAGACATACGCGAATCAAACAAAACAAAACGTTTCACTAAACACCGACAACGTAACATTATATAATCATAATCGGAAATCTATTCCCAATCAGGGTTTCTTTCAGCTATATCTCGCCCCCCCCCCCCCCCCCCCCCCCCCCCGGAAAAATTTCTGAAAGAAACACTGTTCCCAATTTGATTTCAACTGTTAACATTTACTATTTCCAGGAGAAACCAAGTATACCAAGCCAGAGGTGCCGCCCAAACCCACGGCACACGTCCTCTTCAGCGCCACCTTCACCAACAACACCCCCAGTCCCCAGAATCACAACCTCAGGATCGAGAGAAGCACCCGATCGACCTGCGAGATCAGCTTCGTCAAGGCCTTCTCCTATGGGTTTCAGATTCAGATGAAGCTAGCTCCCCCTAACCCTGTCATTGAGGCCAATGCTGGGTTTCACTCGGAGGTGACCAATCAGAAAGGTCGGTAGTTCCCGCAGTAACTATGGTAACCACTAATTTTTTTATTCGCTTAATATTTCTATAATTATTATGTTTAAAATGAATTAAATTTAGTTTAAATACCGTAATATATCTATATATATAATATATATATTTATAAAATTAGCTGTGAACTAAGGATAAGTGGTTGTTCAAAAAGAGACAATGACTTTCTAATGTAAATGACAACGAATGCTCAAAACTGAACAATGATCACACAATGTCTAAGTCTAAGTCTAGCTGAGTGCCAAGGGATATGCTCAAAACTGAACAATGATCACACAATGTCTAAGTCTAAGTCTAGCTGAGTGCCAAGGGATATGCTCAAAACTGAACAATGATCACACAATGTCTAAGTCTAAGTCTAGCTGAGTGCCAAGGGATATGCTCAAAAGAGATGATAATATCCTGGCCCTGCTCCTGGTTAGACCTTTTCTTTTTAAACGTCCAGTGATAGTGTATTATTTATTGACCTATAACTTATAACAGTTTGGAATGCATAATCTTATAAATAACATATTTTTTGTGTGTATGTTCACTGTAAGGTTACAGCTCCACTACGGAACAGGAGCTGACCTGGGGAGTGGACAGCGAGATAGTTGTACGGCCCGGTTATCAAACAAAAGCTGAGCTAATCTTCACAGAGGATGATTTTAATGGTGACTTTGAGGTGCTGACATCGTTTGAAGGAAAGGTGAGCACAATGTATATGTTTTATATAGCAATCAAGTTTTCGGAATCCATGAAGATAACACAAAGGATTGGGGTGGGTGGGGGGGTGAGGATATCATATAATGTTTTATATAGCAATCAGGTTTTCGGAATCCATGAAGATAACACAAAGGATTGGGGGTTGGGGGGGGGGGGTGAGGATATCATTATAATGAACTCTATTGCTGGGACAGGGCAGGGATGAACAAGTCATCAACCCATACTTAGTGCTGAATGAAAGTTAGGTTGACTTAAAACTTGTTAAAAGTCATATGATGGTGGGGGGGGGGGGGGGGGGGGGTGAGGATATCATTATAATGAACTCTATTGCTGGGACAGGGCAGGGATGAACAAGTCATCAACCCATACTTAGTGCTGAATGAAAGTTAGGTTGACTTAAACCTTGTTAAAAGTCATATGACTTAAACCTTGTTAAAGTCATATTAATCAAGGCGATAGAAAAAACAAAACAATGCTTATTTTTAAGACGATTCTTGTGTCATGTTGATGTTAGCGAGAACAGAAAGAATAGTACATTTAATTATTTGAATCAAATGTTCCCATCCGAGTCCTTCAAGTATTGATTTACTGTGGGCATGGATACAGCGTAGTAAATGTCTCCTAAGAAAATCCATCAGAGGCATATCCGTGTTCATCTTTGACAAGTGTTAACAATTTCAGAATCTTTTTTAAAAAAAATGCTTTTTTTTAAATAATTTTTTTTTTTTTAAAGTCCATCAGAATTATTAAAAAGTGTGTAACATTTAAGTTGCAGATTTATTTTGAAAAAAAAACAACAACTGATTATTCAAAAACAAATTGATATCAATTATTTCTGACAGACCAGAATACTCTTGTGTTTTTGTAAAATAATACAATCCTAAGTAGGTTGGTGAAGCCGGTAAATTTGAAGTCAATAAAGATGTAGGAAAAGTAATGAAAAAACAAAATTTATTCTTCTTTGTATTGGATCTTTGGGAGGAGGTAAAGTTTCTTGAATGGGATGTGGGTGTCACGGTCTTTTGGACATGTATCCTTAAAAAAAAATTTATCTTAAAAAAAGTTTGAATTGGAAGATGTGATTTCATTTTTTATGTAATGGCCCCCTCCCCCCAACCTTGTCCACCCAAACCCCCCTTAAAAACACCCCCATGGAATGGCCCGTTAAAATGCATTGTCTCATAGTCTTAAACATAAGGAACTGCCTTTTTTGTTTTAGGTCATCGTGACATACGAGAACAAGAAAAATAAAGATCACATATTAACAGTAACTGAAAGTGTGAGTAAAATATTCAATTCTAAGAATGGATTCTCAAAAGACAGCGATGGGAGACCCACGTTTTTAGTTAAAGGAGTTTGCAAATGTCGATTTGGAGTGGAGCAGAGCGTAAATCTATCAGAAATTCTACTTAGTCCATCCTAAGAGGAATTCTTACATAGTTAGACGTTTTTAATGGCAACATCGTGTACTCCGTATTACGACTGCTGCATTTAGCATTATATACATGCTGTGAATGTAGGATACATTTTATTTATGTGGAACAAATTTTATTGGACATCTTTATTTCGTTCAGAAATTATTCCTTGCTTTTAAGCAAGGGTGAAATGTAATCAAGGTTTTTTTGTTGTTACCACTGGAACTGGAATGCTAATTTCCATTAAATTGCCTAGGAATGTGACAAGATTGTGGAGCTGGGCAGTGGTGAGAGTACTATTACTATTAGCGGTTTGTTTGCTTGGTGGTATTGTTTAAATATGCAGGTGCTTATTGTAAATGCAACAAATGAAAACGTTTTCAATTTTGGAGATGCTGAGTTACTCCCCTTAGCACCTTGGAAAAAGCTATTGCTCCTTGGAAAAAGCCAAGTCTATCACAAGAATGCTTTGCCCACACCTGAAACTGAAGGACTGGTGCTTATGTAATTTGTTACATTTAATTGATCTCATAGTGGATTTATTCTTGGATTGGGAGTCAATGAATGCAGCAAGAACAATAAAAGGCACTGATGTGGCGATGGCATGCCTTTTAAAGACTGCAGGTAATTTTAACCAGTGAATAACTTTTTGTTTAGGACTCAGTATTTATACAGCATAAAGTATTTAACAGTATGCTAAAGTTACACTTAATTATTTCACTTGCCGTTGTTCAATCTGTGAGGCAAAGATTGTATTTTTGTTTATGTTGATCAAATTAACTGGCTGAATTTAATGGCTGAATGTGCGTTACTGTATGGAAAAAATGAGTTACGACATAGTTGATTATGTTGTTTTTAAGCCAGTGGTGATCTTTGTATAAACCCATACAAGATCATGTTCTACTTATTGATGTAAATCAAATAATGATGGAGTCTTCTAACATTTCATTGCATGCACCTGAAATTGAGAAATAAATGTGAATGAGGAAATAAAAAAACACTAGTTTTTTTAAAATATTCCTTTTGAAAAGGCTTTGTGACTTTGGTAAATAAAGGTACTGTATTGTCAAGCTTGTTTTTTGTTGAGGTTTTAAATACCCAAAGTGTGTCGGTCGGGGGAACCCCTTTAACACAAATACATTCTGGCTCAAAAATGATTGCCTTGACCAATTGGTGAAGAGTAAACACTAACAAATAATACTTAATGTGTAGTTCATAAAGACTAAATTTTTTTTTTTATTCCATGAATGAAATAAAATGCAAGATAATTTTGATAATCAAATTGATGTTCCATTTAAAAATAATGGAAGCATTTAATTTAAAAAATGGCACAAATCAATTACTTTAAAAAAAAGCTAAGAAAATTTATAACTGATGCACACACAATAAATTACTTTCAATTTGAGTCCTTTAAAATTAACAGGAAAATTTACATGCATTATAAATCCAAACAACATGATATTAAATATGGTTACAATTAACTAAATTTGCCATATAAATTAAGTCAAAAATGAGTTATATGAATAAAGGAATTATCAAATTCATTTAGCTCTAAGTATCAAAATTAATAAAAAGTTCACTAAATAGTTCAATACACGCAAAGACTATTCTGTAAAATAAGATATATAAAAATGTTTTTAAAAATTGATATAATTTTAGTAGTTTTACTAATGGAGAGTAAATATATTCATTCATAAGTGGAGAAATAAGTATCCAATTCGTGACAAAGAAAAATGTGGACCTTTGTGCAATGGATTTAGTAAAAGAAGAGGCATCGATGAGGAAATATTACGTTACAACTTTTCTTAAAGGTAAGAAGATTTTTTATGTTTTAGTTATCTGATTTTGTGCAAATGTGTTAGTATATTAGTCAATGTAGGCTCATAATCTTAGCATCTAAACATAGAAGGGGTAGCAGAATGAGTGGAGTTGCAAGATAACTGTGTTCTAAAATCTAATAAAATTTAGTTGTAACTAGACTATCATTATTTAGTATGATTTTTTTTCTTTCTATATAGCATCAAGCCATGAACAGGATCTGTGAAAAAAATTATAAAATGAGCATGTGGATATATTAGATGAAACCAGAGTCTGCAAACTTTGGTAAGTTAAGCATTTAAATAGTAAGAGTTTACAATAAAAGTAAATGCCATGTAATGATGAGATATCTGTGACTTACATCAATAAGTAGATACAAAAATGCAAATTGATTTATTTCAGAGCATTAAAATATAAAGAGATGATTTAAGTGGATATTTTAATTTTTTTTCCCTTTCAAACCACAAAAGAACAAATAATACTGGAAATATAAATCAATGTGGCAATGAAAAACAAGCTCCACACATTCAAACTAAGATTTGATAACAACATTATAAATAAAAGCCTTACACAAGGCTAAACGGAACCTCACCCACTTGTTTAACAGCATTGTAGTACAATGATAATAGTAAAATTATTGAAATTAGTTAAAATACACACATGCAGTTGGTTCCGAACCATTATGTCTTGTTAGCTTAATTATTGTTAAAGAAATGTGTTCTCCTTTATGGCTAAGTACGCTAGTGTAAAAAAACAACAAATTGCTTCGTTGACCTTTAATTGAACCAAAAAAAGAAAACCCAACAAATTCTTTTAAATTTGGGACATCTTGAGTTGTCTCTTCATAATGAAAGGCCGTGTTCGCATGGTCAGAGATATTTCTATCATTGATATTTCATGATTTATAACATCAACTGTTGTGCGTGTAAAATTGATTTTAGAAAAGAAAAAGGCTCTTTTTCTTTATATTTAAAACAAAATAATTTGGTGCAGATTAGGGGGGGAACCCCCCCCCCCCAGGCACCCTCACTACTGCCCTAGCTGTATTGGAAAATGAGTTGGGGGGTGGGGGCCATTTTTTCTTAATCTCCTTTGGATAGAGAAGAAAGAATTCTTAAAATTTAACAAAAAACAGTTTTATTTAATGCTAGTTTGTTCAGGGATGGCCATTGGCCACACAAGCTGTCTTAAGCCATTATGACTTAACAATTTGACATTGTTCAATCAAAGCTCAGCCCCAGGACATAAACTTCCAATCACCAAAATATATATATATATATAATAATGCAGACCTGTTTACTCTTACGATTTTGGCGTACAATATACGATTTTGAGGTGTATACACTATATATACTGTATGTTTATTTTTCACGATTAAGATAATGTATTGAACGATTTTGTGATGATATTTTAAGAGTTTGGGGGTAAATAGATCTGATAATGTGACAATTACTGTGAGGGGTCAGGAATTAATGATTATGATATCAAGAGCAAGAAATAGTAAATGGAAAGAAGAAAACAGTTTAGCACTAAGAAAATACTTCTGTGGCCTTGTAAACAACAGTGTTGTGCAAATATCCCAAAAATGATTTCACCTAGTTTTCAACTGAATTGATAGTGTCACATGCATAAACATGTTTATTTCACATTAAAATATTAGCTACATAGCACTTACATAAGAGCTAAATTATTTATTAAAAAATGTAAGTACAATGCGCAAAAAAATCTATTAAACAATGAAAAGAACTATTGGTGATAGGCCTTTTTTTCTTCTTTTTTGAGAGCACTTTGGTCATTTTTCCTTATTTGCTAAGAATTAAAATCCCAATGCATTGTTATGAGTAAAAAATAAAACTATAAAAAAATAAACAACCAAAACATCCTGGGACACACACATTAGTACAACAAAAAAAAAAGTAATACAGCATTTTTATCATAATTAAATAACTAGAAATTTAACTATCAAAACATGATATTGATATTAAATTTATCACAATTATCAAGTTAACATCTCATTAAAAAAATAAACTGTAAAAAAAATAATACATCTTTTGCAATTTCAATTATTTTGTAAGGGGATATTGAGAAACATTTTTATTGTTAATACCCTTACTTTTGTCAATGGTGGAACTTTAATTTTCATTTGACAAAGGTCATAAGACTAGCTGAGAGGAACGATGGTTACTTTTTAAAATATCCAGTTAGTTAAAAAAAAAAATTTGTCAAATTTATTTCAAAATTATTTACATGAAACAATAAAAGAAATCAAGGTTTTTTTTTAAAAACAAATTCCTTTTAAATTCTTCTGAGCTTTTCCTGCATCCTGTCATTTTGATCAATGTCTAAGAGGCAATGAAGGACAGTCTTAGGCAGTGCATTTACATAATGTCATGGAAACATAGTATGATACAATTTTATAAAATTTAAAAAATATATACCTTATAGAGCTTTTTCTTCTAATAATAACATCAATCAAGCCATACCTTTCTCTCCAACATTTTAATTATTCAAACTAGTCGCTTGAAGTCTCTAAATTTCCTTCTCTGATGTATTTTTCCCAGGACTGGTATGCTTCTTGTTTTTTTAGAAATAAATATAGCCAACCATCTTCACCCTAAGGAAATATCAGGGGAAAAAAATGAATTTATAACACTTTAAGAAATGAAATAAAAAAGAAAGGATGAAAAAAGGAAGGAAAAAGGAAAATACAACTTAAAATTATTGAGTACTTTCATGAAATAAGAAGGGCTTTCAAAACACATAATATATTAAAATTAAGACTGACGTGATCTCTAGTCATCAATTTAGAACATCAGTTGTGAGGAGATATCAACTATTTTTTCATTTTAAAATATTAAGACAGGATATCATATTTACAAAGATTTACTGGGGCGTTGCTGCTTTAACTTGGTATTGAGTATCCTAATGGCAACATAAAAAGGATAAGAATCCAATGCATATTTTAAATGATTTGAAAAAAAACTCCAATATGTAATTACATATTTACATTTCTTACTTCTTTTGAAGTGCCCATTTCTAACTTTGTGAAAATTAGTAACAGTGATCACATCATGTAACATTTTTTTATTAAAAATTTAAAAAACTTTTTTTTGGATAAAGAATTCACTAAATAGTACAAATAAAAATTTAGTACCAGTTCACATCGCTACAGATCATTTTTACATTTCTAAAATATTTTTCTAGACATTCCATTGTTTCTTTTCATTTTTTAGAAAATTGAGGATAAAAAATGTATACTATAAATCATTAATTTTCTTTCCACTTACTTTCAGATAACACCCATCCACATCAATGTCATAAGGCAATTGTTTTATGGCCAATCTGTAATGGGCACCTTTCATAGAAGTGTCCAATCCACCTTTAACCTCCAGTGCAAAGCCCCTGTCATTAGAAGTAAGAACACATTTTGCAGCAATCTTTTGTAAGTTTTGAACAGCAAGCTAAAAACTGGTGAGGTAATTATTTTAATCATTGGAATCATAACTATTGTTCCACAGCAAGTAAAAAATTTTATGGCTGCTATAATTTGGTGTATCCTTTTTTATTGGAAACCTTTAATGAAACTATGGAAATGTATGCACTAAAATATTCTGTATTCATGGATCACTAAATGATATTAAGTTAATAAATTTTCAACAGTAAATTCTTATCAAGGCTATAGCAAGCAAAAGCTGTGCCCAAGGCAAGCTTGGATTGAAGTGCCCACCTTAAAAAAAAAAAAAATGGTATGACAAATATTTCACATGAAAAATTACAATTTTTAATGCTTTCTGAAAGTAGCGACACAGCCCTGATTCTTAAGAATTACCACAGAATATTTTGGATATATCCCTTTGAGAATAAAGAACAAAGCAAAAATAGTTTAAATTAGAAAACTTAAGAGATGATGCAAGAAGAAACACAGAAATTTAAGTTTTTATATATTTTATATATATTTTATAAATAAATAAACATTTTTGTATATATGTGTACATATATTACTTTAAATCATATAAAAAATGAAAGTTAAAAATTTATTTAAAATACAAACCTTTTGTGTATTTCAGGTTTCTCAATAGTAGCATTTTTGGATTCAGGGTGAGGGTGAGTACCTTGTAATTTATTTAATATACTCAGCCCTTGACTTTTAACTTTTAGACCATCAATCTTTATCTTCAGACGAATAAACCCTTCTTTGCTATTTTCATCAACAGCTAAAAAGTAATAAAAAAATTATGAAAAGACTTTAAATAATTTTCTGCAGTTTAAAGAATTAGACTATCATCTTTTCCTTTCAAATATCAAATTAAAAAACCTAAAGGCACATGCAAAAAATAATAACAATATTTTTTTCTAAAAAAGTTATTGTTTTTCAGTAAATATATTTAAGTATTCTATTGCCATGAATTCTCCAAAATATTTTTGGATAATTTTACATTACCATAGCCTGGTTCTTCTACTGCTTGTGCCATCTTGTAACACTCTAAAACAAATGATCAGAACTAAATTAATTTCAAAATAAGACTTAAAATTAACGTAGTTAGGGTCAATACATCTAACAGCATGCAATAGTATGCCATTAAATATTATGCAAGATAAAATTTGGCAATCCAAACCAGCAGATTGCTTTTAATCAACTCTCAAAAAACAAAATCCACATATAAACTGGTGTTGCCCCAACTCATACACATTACTAACGGAGTGTAACAATTTTATTTTTTTAAAAACCCTTTTTTTTTTTTTCAGATTGACTGAGAATTTACACAGAAATTTAACTTTTATATTACTTAAGACTACATCAGTTTTAACTGAGTCTATTATAACACGCAGTAGCTACTTTATTAGGGTTACCATTATTTTTATAAAATTTGGCAATCCAAACCAGCAAATTGCTTTTAATCAACACACAAAAAAAAAAAACAAAATATAAACTGGTATTGCCCCAACTCATACACATTACTAACGGAGTGTAACAATTTTATTTTTTTAAAAACCCTTTTTTTTTTTTTCAGATTGACTGAGAATTTACACAGAAATCTAACTTTTATATTACTTAAGACTACATCAGTTTTAACTGAGTCTATTATAACACGCAGTAGCTACTTTATTAGGGTGACCATTATTTTCAAATTGAAAACCAGAACATATTAAAAAAAATTATAATTAGGATGTTTAAAATCGTTTTGGCACCATTGGTGTAAAAATATGAAAAATTATTTGTGGTTACACAGAGATCTCTATTTTTGTGAGGCGTTCTTAAAAAAAAGATAAATTATTATGCTGTTAATTTGGATGAATTATTTTTTTTTTAAAATTGTTTCATTTATTAAGGGCTGGATATCAAATGCCCTCAATCTTTTTTGTTCAATTAATCCGTTATTGATTGAGTAGTCTTTAACTCTACTGGTTACAAATTATGACTAACCAGGAAAAACAAAGGTCCAAAAGCCTTTACAGAACTGGTATAAGGAATGGCAAGTAGAGAAATAAATTAATTTTTAAAAAATTTGTATCACTACTAATATTATTAGGTCTTTGCCTATACTATAGTGACAAGTTAGTGCCAAGTTGAATTGACTGTTATCATTCCTTTGCATCCATTTGCTGCATCGAGAGTGGGGATCAGCTGCATTGGGCCACTGCTAGTCTCCATAAACCATTGCCCATGATTAGCACTAGTGAAATCAATGAATGGTAGATTATCGATGAGCATCGTTCCAGTTGGTGAACAGCAATGTAAGGAGTCAAAAAGCAGAAGATTCAACAAAAAAAGGATGCCGAAGGCCAAATTTAACCTGGAGTCAAGGCTATCCTGTGAAAAATGCAGCTGAGACTGTCATTCCAAGATTGGCCTCGTATTCATAGGCTACTCAATCGTCTCATCTCATGATTGATTATTCGGCTTTCCGGCTAATGCAGAAAATTGGTGCCATTAGGGATACATTTACTTCATTTAGGGTTCATGTTAGGTTTAGGGATACATTTAGGGTTCATGTTAGGTTTAGGGATACATTTAGGGTTCAGGTTAGGTTTCCTCCTCCTCATCCCCATGTCCCTTAGTCCTTGGACCGTTGGGGTGCCACAGATGACATGTGAACCATCCTCCTCTATTCCTCTCTGTCTTCAGCACTACGCACTGCATCGCCCAGTGTTAGTCCTCTCCAGTCTTTGATGTTATCCTCCCATCTTTTTCTTTGTCTTCCTCTTCTTCTCCCTCCTCTTGTGGTGCCCTGCAATATTTCTTTGGCAAGCCCTTGTTTCCTTGTTACGTGGCCGTACCATTGTAATTTGCGTTTTTTCACAGTCACCAGTAGGTCATCGTACTCCCCAATAGCCTGCTGAACCCTTTCTTTCCCTGTAACATTGGAGATATGTTCCCTATAGCAGATGCCAAAAATGCTTCTGAAGCATCTCATCTCCATCGCCTTTATTTTCCTTTCAAGATTGGCTGTTAATGTTTGGTGACAGGTTAGGTTTAGTGACAGTAAATTATAAAAGTAAAAGTTCACGGGTCGTGGCAACCAAAATGGCAGCCGTGTGATATGTCATGGCACCAATTGTCTGCATTTACCGATTATTAATATCAGATGATATCATACTCTGATGATAAATTATTATCATAGTCATAGGTGACCATTCAGATTATTATTGTAACTTGTTCAGGACTGGTATTTTAACATTGGTCATCCTGGTTACTCTGGTTGGTGGTAAGTTGTGACTAGTAAACTTTAATTTTAAGGCTACAAAATAAACAATGAGTAATGTTTGAAAAGATCAAGTTCATCTCAGATCCAGGAGTGAATAAATACCAAAGTTTAAAATTCATCCATCAAAAGGTCATCAGAGTCATCACACATCAATAATAATAATAATAATAGACTAATCATAATTATTTTAAAAAAATATTTTTCTTAAGTGGCTCAATACTTTCAATCAATGTACTGTTATGTAACAAAACTGACAGAAGTCAGATTTATCAGTGGTAAGCAGCCACATAAAATTGATTATTTTTTTTTACAGATATTCATATTGCAACATGATAATAATATATGGTTAATAGCCTAATATATTAGTATGACGCCAAACGATTTTAAATATAATATGTCATGGCATTTAGTCATTCATTTAGGCTTTATTAAACTTTAATTTGGCTTTTGAAAATTTCAAAAACGTCCTGGTTTTAATTCATTTTAAATTTGAAAATAAAAATGTCACTGTCATAAATCATCAATTGGCCAATATTGTGATCGAAACTGATAAACTTTCTAAGTTTTATTTTTACATCTAAGAGTAGTAAGAGTCTAATTAAAAAATATGGTTTACATTTTATTTAACTTTACACTACTGTTTCACGTCATCAAATATCTTTCCTTGAAAAATAAACCTATTGTTTAAAGGGGAAGATACTCTCTCTTTCTTTTTAAAGAAAACTAGAATCATAACAAAAAAGATGAAATAAATAAAATACATAAAATATTCACGAAACAAATCTGCATTAAGCTTTTTTTTTCATTTCTCTTCACTTGTTTTGACCTTTACATCAAAATAATGATTTAATTAAATAACCCTTAAAACCAAAGTTTTTCGAATAAATCCTCTACATGGATTTTTTATTATTTTATTTTATATTAAAATTCAAACGCCCCACCCGCTTTAACACCGCAGATTCACTGAAATCATTGCAGTATATTTCAGAAAAACAGAATACATAATTAAAAGAAAAATAACGCACCAAACGTACTTGCAATATTGAAAAAAAAAAAAAAATCTCATTTAGCGCAGTTATCCGGAATTCACTTAGTGTGTGTGTCTGTGTGTGTATGTGTGTGCACTGTCCAGCGCACATATTTGTTTAAATTTTCGGCCTCTCCTTGACTACGGCGTGTATTGAAAAACCATGTTAAGTGCCTCAATGTAAAACCTTTATTATGCGAGACTATAATTATGCAGAATGCAGAATTAAATGTTTCGTAGCCAATAAATATAAGATTACAGGCATTCAAGACGCTCTTTATGAAGTTTCAGTAATGTCTGCGTCCGATCTCGTGGTGCGACATGAATCATGAAGCAGAAGCACTTGTTTAACCAACAGAAGATTATAGTTATTTTAGTGATAATAAATGTCTGGTATGATGTCATAGACAGGGTGAATATTTTCATAGGAAATGAATAAAACAAAGTAAGGTCAAACCTGAAAAACGGAAAGCAACAAAACAACGAACGTGTCGACAAGAAGCCTTCGTCTGCAAACAAACAACAGAGCTAAACAGAATACATTTTTTAAAATAGCACTTGGCTGAGAATAGTAGCATCCGAGAGGGCAGCAAAAAAATTGTGGCAGAAAATATGTACCGTAGGTGAGAGATTAAATAGGGAAAAGGGTAAAAAAAAAAAGAAAGAGAAGTAAGTCCACTGCGATTGGTCGTGACGTGGAGGAGCAGGGCCAAACCTGTGCACATCCCATCAAACTCATCCCATCAGACTCATCCCATCAAACTCATCCTATCAAGATCGTCTTATCAAACTCATCCCACCAAGATCATCCCATCAAACTCATCCCATCAAACTCATCCCATCAGACTCATCCTATTCAACTCATCCTATCAAGATCGTCTTATCAAACTCATCCCATCGAGCTCATCCCATCAAACTCATCCCATCAGACTCATCCCATCAAACCCATCATATCAAGCTCATCCTATCAAACTCATCCCATCAAACCCAACCGATCAAGCTCACCCTATGAATCCCATCCCATCAAACCAATCCTATCAAACTTATCCCATCAAGGTCATCCTATCAAACTCATTCCATCAAGCTCATCCTATCAAGCTCATCCCATCAAACTCATCCTATCAAATTCATCCCATCAAACTCATCTAAATAAATGTATCCCATCAAACAGAGCACACGAATTCCCCCCCCCCCATCAAGCCCATCCCCTCAAGCCCATCCCACCACGCCCATTCCACCAAGCCC